GATCATCAACCGTAGTGATTGGCGTATGGTGACGAGACAGTCGCTCGGCAACCATGAACCACATGTTTTCTATTGGCGAGAGATCTGGTGAACATGCAGGTCAGGGCAACAGCCGAGAATTTTCCGTATCAAGGAAGGTCCGCACAATACCGGCGACACGCGGCCATGCATTATCCTGCTAAAACGCAGGGCTGGAATAAAGGATTGAGCCACGGGTTACAACTCACTAGAAATGTAACGTGCACTGTTAAAAGTTCTATGAATGCGAGCATCAATTGACCGAGAGGTGTATCCAATACCACCCCATACCATCACGTCTGGTGATTGGCCAGTATGACGATGAAGAATGCACGCTGCCAATTTACTTTCACCCCGATGCAGCCAAACACGGATGCGACCATCTTGAAGCTGTAAACAGAACCTTTAATCACTTGAAAAAAATGACATTTCGCTCTATTCGTGCGCCCAGGTTCGTCATTGCTGAAACTATTGAAGACTCTCCTGTCTGTGATATAGTGTCAAGGGTAGCCGCAGCTATGGTCTTTGAGCTGGGAGTCCATGTTGCTGCAAACATTTACGAACAGTTCATGCAAGCATTTGTAGTTTTGCAAATGACCCCAATTCTTGACTCAAGACTCGTGGCGTGACTACAAGATCCATTAAGGCCATACGGGTAGCATGCCTGTCTTCTCGGCTGCTAGTGATCGGGAGACGTTGACCTCCAACACGGCGTTTTGTATTAACGTCCTGAACCCATCAATTTCATATACTGCTAACAATCATTGGATTTCGACCGACACGAGCAGCAATACTGTAAAAAGATAAACCGCAATCCTAATGCATACAATTCAATCTTTATCAAAGTCAGAAACGTGCTGGTACATTTCTGCTTCTTACACGAGTCATCACAACAACTTTTCACATGCAAAAATGTTCAAATTCAATTTGTGTATGAGAAACTGGCTGAACATTTCCTCATTTAAACACATTGTAGGTGTCACTACCAGCGCCTGCCTTGTATGAATGCGCTGAAAAGTTAATCCTTTACATACCACAGCACCTTCTTCCTATAGTTTAAATTTCACGTCTGTATTATGTCGCCTTCTTCGTAATGCAATCTGCTGGGTTCGCTAATGACAGCTTTCAAAGGTTAAGACATGCAGCAGAAATGGATGGAGATTATGCAGAGAAGTCTCTTCATCTGATGACACAAACCAACGTCACTGTTAATGATTTTCTTTAATAGGAAACAGCAAATGTCCCACGGTACTTTGTATGGTGAATAGGAATATGTGAAAGCACGGTAGAGCGAGCTTTGGAAAGGAACTACAATGCTGGACAATTGCTAAGGATGGATAACACTATCATCCATAGCAACCACAAAATGAAAGGAAGCAAAATGTGGAAAATTAGAATAAGTGCGGGATATTAGTAAGAGGAAGTATGAGTATGCGAATTTTTTTCCACGTCTGTTCATCACGTGATAGCGTTCATAAGAGCTTTAAAGGTTTTGACGCGTGTGGATAGTTGTTGTTTCAAGTCAAAGTTTTACAGGAAAGATTTAATAGACAAACTTAAAATTTTTGGCATGTCTTCCCGAAATCACATAGATGATTTTATGCGTGGCCGAATTATTGGAAAGATCGAAGAAGGGCGAAAAATAACAGATGTTGCCAGGGAGTTAAACATCGCTCACAGCATTGCTTCACGGCTGTGGAAGTCATTTAAAACTACTGGAATGTGTAGTAGACAGCACGAGGGAGGTCGTGTTAGAAGTACGACGCCTGCAGAAGACAGATATATCGTCCTATCAGCAAAAAGGAACAGGCGCACCACAGCTCAGCAGGTGGCAAATCAGTTTCTTGCTGCCTCAGGAAAGCAGATCTCCCGAAAAACTGTTGCCAGACGTTTGAGGGAAGGAGGACTATACGCACGCAACCTGTTGTGTGTGTCCCATTGACCAGACAGCACCGTACTGCCCGTTTGCAATGGTGTCGTGAGCATCAAAATTGGACTGAACAGGACTGGGCATGCGTACTAATAATGATAAATTGCCTCAACAGCTGCTGGATAATGTTGTGCAAAGTATGGTACGACGTGTGGAATGTTGCATCACTCTCCACGGTTGACATATCCCGTACTGATACCTTTCTTTAAGGTGCCTGCTGACTTTTAGATGCATTGTTCCATTTCTCCGTACGCAGATCAAATGAACATTTTTTTTCTTTCAGATGTTTCACAGCTTTTGTACATTCCAGAACAATAAGTATTCCTTATTCTAATGTCTGAATAGTGTGGCAACTATATATTATCCTACTAGGCCTCATGTCTTGCTTAATGTTATGCTACATAGCAACTTGTGATCCGTCCTTAGCAATTGTCCAGCAGGGTATTTCACTAATTGGGATCAATGTGCTGCTTCGTTGTCATGCAGAAGATACCAGTCGTCACTCTGCCAGAACTGAGGCCGCTTACGACTAATGGATTCTTTCAAACGACGTCTTCAAGAAGTGTGTAGCTTCAGTGATTTGTGTCAGTGTTTGGTGAAGATCTTTTCTAACACATTCAGAAAACAACGCAACATTTCCAGCGTTTTGTGAATTCGAAGATCGTCCAAAGTTTTCATTGTATTCGATGGATTATCCGCCCTCTTAAAGAAGCCAGTGCCATTCGTAAACCTTGAATCTCGCCATGGTAGATTCAAAATAAACCTTACTTAGCATTTACAAGTCTCAATTTGTTTCTTACCTAAACCTTGACGGAATTTAATGTTAAACGCTGGTCAAAAAAATGCAATCTTTCTTAGATCGCGGAACAAACCTAAGTAGCTTTGGAAGGTAATATAGCTCCTGGTCTGGTAGAGTAGGGTTGGGATAAACCAATTAAAGAGGTTTAACTTTAGATACTTGCTTGCGTCATCATCAATGGCCTCATTTCCTGAATTTGTAGATCGTACTACGTATTTATTTAAGCATAAATATTTTAAAAGAATTTATTTTCTGAGTAATCAATAAGTAATCAATCTAAAAATGCTCTTGTTGCAGATCCTGGTTCCCTCAGTATTATGGGGAATTTTTTCATTTCAACTGCAGAATCTATCACCTCATCTTCTAAGAATGTGAGAGACTATTTTCCAGAGACATGGTTATTCCAAATGGAAATGACTGGGTAAGTATTCAATGTTTGAAAGACACGACGATTTTATTGCAGAATAACTTATCTTAAACGAAAAAATATTACTATCGCAAAAGGAGTTAAAAACAAACAGAACATAAAGGATTTTTTTCTCTTTTATCTCTGTTAATATTTACTTTTCATTTCCCTTTAAATTTTCATCATCGAATTTCCTCAGAATTTCTCTTTTTAGAATACTTTCTTAAAGTATCCGACTACGTTCGGAACCGTGTTTTTAAAAAAGCACATAAATGGATAGTTTTCATGATATTTAGTGTCACTCATATTAGAATACATGCATAAAATTGTTTTAAGGACATTTTGACAAAAAAAGGTTTTTTAAATACAATATTTTCGCTGAAAAATTAACTTAGAATAGTCTTTTTTCAAAATGTTCTCTTTTTGTTAAATATGCTTCTATTATAATAATATTTTGCCTGTATATAGCTCAGACCTCTTTACAGAGGCTCACCAATTAATTTTGAAAAATTCACATTATTTTTAGAGTTACCACCAATTGAAATAATTATTCCCCCTTTTTTTAAAAAAAATTGCTCCCCTCAGTTGTCGTAAAATATATGGATATAATCCCACTTTTAAGTTATATATTTCAAAAATTCTAGTTGAACCTCTATAGAGAAGTTTGAGCTATATACAGGCAAAATAATATTATAATAGAAGCATTTTTCACAAAAGGAGAACATTTTGAAAAAAATTATTCTCTAAGTTAATTTTTCGCCAAAATATTGGATTTAAATAATTTTTTTGTCAAAATGTTCTTAAAACGATTGTATACGTGATTTCTAGTCTAAGTGACACTAAATATCCTGAAAATTATCCATTTATACGCTTTTGCAAATTTGCGGTTCCAAACGCTGTCGGATACCTTAAGTCATTTTTAAATTTTAAATAATCAATTGTTTTTGTTTATTATTCGCATTGAAACCCTTTCAGTGAATCAGCATGTAAGATAACGAATATTTAAAATTAAACATGAACACAACCTACAAACAAGATTAAATTCTATATTTTTCAAAAGTCGAGCATTGTACTTTTCCAATTGGAAATTTTTCTTCTTTTTTTATAGACCCGATGGAGTATTCGAGTCACAAGAAACTCTTCCAGATACAATAACCGAATGGGAAGGCAGTGCTGTTTGTATTAATTCAAAGGATGGTCTTGGTTTGTCGGATACAGCATCCATCAAAGGCTTCCAGGCTTTCTTCATATCTTACAATCTTCCTATCAGTGTTATCAGAGGCGAGGAATTTGTTGTGACTGCGACAATTTTCAGCTATGTGGATGCCGCTATTCCTGTAATCAGTAATTTTTTAACTTTTTTTGTAAGGCTAATTAATTTATAACCTTAAAAAATTATATTTCCCATTTAATGTATATTTTCCCTCCGTACATATTTAAGTATAAATTTTAACAGCTAATACTCTCTCAGAAAAGTTCACACATCCAACCGTCAGAATCCCATCCCGTTTCATTTTCTTTCATGGTCAAAGGCCTTACTTTTCCACACTTTTCTCTCCAATTGAGACCTGAACTAAAGAGTAATATAAAAAAGTTAATTCAATTCCTACTTGTAAGTCAACAAAGAAACATTTTATTTTAGTTACATTTTATTAATTACAATTGATATAAATATGTATATACATATGACAGAATCACAATATTAAGTGACAAAATATAAATGGATTTTCCTTTCTATATATGGTGTTGGACTATTTTTTGTTACTATTTATTCATTAATTGAATTTAATTATTCTTATTAAATAGTATAGTAAAAAAGCAATCACACGTTCTCAAAAAAATTAGGCCATCCCAGGAGTAAATCGAAACCACGACCTTTGGAGTAGAAGTCCAACGTGTGCTATCCAATACGCTACAGGGACTCAACGAAAGTCTTTCCTTTCTATATAAGTGTTCGACTACTATTTTTGTTACTATTTATTCATTTCTTAAATTTAATTAACGAATTAATATTTGAAAAAAAAACTGTATATTAACATGAATTGTCATCCACTACAAGTTAAAAAAAGAAATTTAAACTTGAATGGATGAATAGAAAGTATTTTATTAACGATTCAAAATTTGAACAAGATATATACACTGGTGTGCAAAAATTAAGGACGAAGTCGAAAAATTAGCATATCAGCTAAACGAAGAGGTAGAGCGGACAAAAAGACCAATCAGGAGATTAAGTAAAGTCATGTACGGTAGCACATGCGCAGATATGCAGGTAGACGTAATGGGGGAGTGTGTGAGTAGTATAAAGCATGTTGTCGGTGTAAGATCAGTATTTCTGGCAAAGAGATTGCACGCCGTACAAGAGTTAAAATCACACCGAGTTGCTGCCTCAGCGAGAAATGGCGAATAATCAATCTGTTAGACGACATCTGGATGCTTTTACCCGAGGTCGAATCATTGAGAAGTTGGAGGAAGGCCGCAGTGTGACAAGTGTGGCTGCAGAGTTCGGAATTGCTCACAGCATCGTTTCACGACTTTGGAGACAATTTCAAACTACAGGAACAGCTATCCGGGGGTTCAGTAGTGGTCGTCCACGAGAAGGTGCACACCCGCAGATGACCGATACATTGTCTTACAGGCCAGAAAAAACAGGCGGCAGACAGCGGGAGAAATCGCTAGACACACGACACAAGCGACTGGACGACCGATATCGCGTTTTACCGTGGCCAGAAGATTGCACGGTGGTGGTCTGTTTGCACGACGCCCTGTACGGTGTGTACCTTTAACGCCTGCCCATCGGAGAAGGCGTTCTCTGTGGTGCCGGGAACACCGGAATTGGAGAGACAATGAATGGGGACGAGTACTCTTTACAGATGATAGCAGATTCAGTTTGAGTAGCGATTCTCATCGCATACTCATCTGGAGAGAACGGGGAAGCCGCAATCATCCCTCGAACATCATTGAAAGAGACAGGTATGGAGGTCGCGGTGTTCTTGTTTGGGAAGGCATCATGCTTCGTAGTCGTACAGACCTTCACATCTTCGACGCAGGTTCAGTCAACGGGACCCGTTATTGTAACGAGAATCTTCTTCCATATGTGCGTCTTTTTAGAGGCGCTATGGGTCTGCAGTTCCTTTTCATGGACGACAATGCACCATGTCATCGCACAGTAGCTGCCGAACATCTCTTAGAGAGTGAGGATATTGAACGTATGGATTGGCTGGCACGATCTCCGGATCTCAATCCCATCGAGCATGTATGGGATTTTCTAGGCAGACGCTTGGCAGCTCGTACCTTACCACCAGTAACGATTCGGGAGCTTCGATTGGCGCTGCAAGACGAATGGACAGCAATGCCTCAAGAACTCATTGACACCCTCATTCTCAGCATGTTCAGACGCTGTGAAACCTGCCTAGCAGTCAGGGGAGATCATATCCCCTACTAAAGACTGGATGTTTCTTGCTGGACACCCATCACAGGGATGTTTTGGCCTTCAGACGCATTGCGCTCCATGCTACTTTTTCAATCAAACTTCTTTTTATCCCTCTGATTTCTCTTTTAGTAAGTGTTGCTTACATATTACACATGTCCTTACGTATTGGGGATCTTACGGTATTAAATGTGTTGATTTGGAAAGCTTTTGTACAAAATTATATTGAAAAAAACTGTCTCGTCCATAATTTTTGCACACCAGTGTATATATATAGGAGAGAATGATCTATAATAGTGAGAATTGAAAGAAGTACCCAAAAGAAAAAATAAATAGATCCAAAATATCTACATCTATTTTCAAATTAAATAGCTTGATATTAAAATTATGATATTAAATATTGTAAATTAAGTGTAATCTTAATTGAAAGACGTAAATTTTACCACCAAATTTGTTCCTTGTTTTATTTCTTTTAATAAGCCTTTTCGTGGATAAAAGATGATTTGACGTACAAAAGCGCTCTTGTAATAACTTTTTCGGCTCAACACGTAATGTATTGTATCAGGAGCTACATTGTGTTTTACATGGTTTTTCCAAAAATAATAACCAAATTATTTCAAAACAATAAACTAGATTTACGTCATTTGTATGTATTTTTAGCCACATATAATTTTTAACGAATAATGCATATGAATTCTATTCTAGGTGACGGTATCTCTGGATAAACCACAGGGATTTGTAGTTGCTAATGATTCAACCAGTGGTGTCCTGTGCGTCCAGCCAAATTCCAGCAATGGTATTGAACTTAAACTGAAAGCAACGAAAGTTGGTAAAGTTAACATAACAGTAAGAGCAGAAACGATATCGTCGAGTAAAGTTTGCGGTAATTCTTCAATATATGATGCCTCTGCTAGAGATGCTATTACTCAATCTTTCGGAGTTGAGGTATAAATCATTTTGAAATGGAAAGCATGAATATATGTATTAATTTAGCTTTTAAAACGATCAGGGGGTCAATAAATGTTTTACTTCCTCTATTGAAAAAGCAGAAACATAAATATCAATGTAATTTAATAATCATTAGAGATGGAATAAAGTATTTGCTCTAGATGTGAGAAGACTGAAAAGAACTCGTTCTGGTTAATGTTATAATTTAATTAACATGATTTTTCAAATTTAATATCTTACTAATTGAGAGACATGCTGGAGGTGTTTCTGGTGCTATATTAAATTATCTTAAGAAATGTATTCAGTATGTTTTACATATTGAATTATAATCTATACATATAAAGGAGAAAAGCGACTCACTCACTCACTGACTAATCAAGATATCTCCGGAACTATTAAACCTACAGATTAGAAATTTGGCAAGTAAGTTCCCTTCATGAAATAGACATTAGCTAAGAACGGATTTTGCAAAGATCGAACCCCAAGGGACGTTACTGGGGTTTAAGGGGCGTTATAGATAATTATTTTCATTATTAATCTATTAGATGTACAGTCTTGAGAGAAAAAAACCTGGTACACAGATTTCTTTCATAAAGTAGAGCTTCCCTACATAATGAATTTTATGAAAATCGACCTCCAAGGGGCGTTGAGGGCGCTTAAGGGGCGTTATGCATAATTATTTCTATTTTTATACTATTAGACGTACAGTCTTGAAATTTGGTAGACGGATTCCTCTCATTGAGTAAAAATCCGCTATAAAATGGGTTTTGTGAAAATCGACTCCCAAGTGGCGTTGTAAAGAATTAAGTGGCGTTATAGGCAATTAACTCCTTTTTTAAATTATTAGACGTAAAATCTCGAAATTGAGTAAGCAGATTCCATTCATTAAGTAGAGATCCGCTATAAGATGGGTTTTGTGAAAATCGCTTCCTAAGTGGCGTAGCAGGGGAGTAAGGGGCGTTATAGATAATTATTTCCATTTTTAAACTATTAGACGTACAGTCTTAAAATTTGATAAGCGGATTCTTTTCATGGCGTAGAAATGCGCTACTAAATAGTTTTGGAGAAAATGGATCCCCAAGGGTCAGTGAGGGGGATTAAGAGGCTTAATAGATAAATATTTCCGCTTTTCTATTAATAGACCCTCCTGCTTGAAAATTAGGAGGTATGTACCGTTCATGGAATATAGTTCCTTTTACAAAGAGTTTTGCGAAAACGGACCACCCAGGAAGTGGGGTTGCGAGGGATTAAGGCGTGTTACCGAAAAATTCCTGTTTTTGAATTTAACCCATTTACTAGAAATTTGTTGAGCACGTTTCTTTAGTTGAATAGAGTTCCACTAAGAATGGATTTTACGGAAATCAACTCCAGGAGAGAGCGAGGAGAGTTATTGGGGCGTATTGATAGGCAAAATTCCCGTTTTCGAACAGCTAAGACTATAATAATAAAATTTGGTGTGCATGCTTCTTTTGTTCAATTGGAATCCGCTAAGAATGCTCTCAACGAGGTATTGATGATAAAAATTCCGTTTTTGCTCTGTTAGATTTAGACTCGAAATTTAACACGCATGTTTATTTTATGGAGTAGAGATCCACTGAAGGTTGTTTTGGTGAAAATCCACTTGATTATTAAGTTAAGTGAGCACAAAAAATCTCCTACTTCTATTTCAGATATAAATAGAAAATAGATATTTTAATTTATGTCATTTTTATATCAAGAGGCGAGAGTTACAGCTATAAATTTATTTTTCAATAGAATCGAATCCTAAATGCTAGATATCAATAATTTACATATATGTAAACAGTATACATTTATACAACATCGTTAAATACTCAGTGAAGCCGGTGGGTAACAGCTAGTACTCGTATATATTTAGATAGATCCCACATAGTTATTTACAAACATGTTGATGAAAACGAGTCTTCTATTTTTCTTTTAGAATGAATTCATACTCTGCATTTTATATAAATTGTTTTCTTTTAGGGATATTGATTGGATAATTATAGAATAAAAAGCATATTTTCTTCCTAAAATGTAGTTTAGAAATATTTTAATTTGGGATTTATTTTTTCTTATTATTTGTGGAATTTAATTTGCTATAAATAACTGTTACATAATGACACAATATAAATGGCAAATAATTATGTTTAAACTCTCATTCCATCTGAAATATTTTGCGATATATGTTGTTGCACAAGGTCATTTAGCGAAAAGAAAGAATTTTCATGGTCTAAAAAATAAAAATTTCGAACTTTGGTTGACAAAATCAATAGTAAATAAACTATTATTCTTTTTTTAAAATCATGTGCAGTTTATAGTTTTTAAAGTGAATTGTCTGAAAGTTTCATAAGTACCACCTCAATCACAGAACTTAAATTGGATGGGATAATTCAATGAGACGTCAAAGTCACGTAACTGTAACCACGTGTATCCGGCCAGTAATTTCATAAATTCATGTGACGTCATAATCAAACGCTTAATGCAACCATGTATTTCCAGCCAATTAATTGCCAACTTTTGCTTTTTGTAGAAAATATCTTTTAAAAA